TCAGGCAAGGACCTCGAGATTGCGAGCGAGATGGCCACGCTCGAGAGCACCGTTGAGACCTTCAAGAAGGTCACCGGGCTACCGGCCGTCGCAGTTTATCAGACCGTCGAAGAGTACTGGGCTAACTGGAAGAATACCGACTATCCTGTCGCGAGGGAGCGCAAGCGCGGCGATGGGTCGACAACTTGGAAGCAGAACTTCACAGCGTTCTGGCACCTGTACCGGGACGACGTCATCAAGCGGGACATGGCTTGGATCCGCAAGGTCAACCCTAACGGACAGAATCTCGAGAAGTGGATGCGAGAGAACAACTATAAGGGGGAGCTGGATCTGACCTTGCTGAAGCAGTGGGAAGACGGAAGTCCCGTTGGTCCTGACATGGAGCGCATCGCTGAGACGCTGGGTAAGGTGTAGATAGTAGTCTTCGCCTTTTCGAGCCCAGATGTAATATCTCCTCGCAGTTCTTACATCGCCCGGTGGTGAGCAAAGATCCGTTCCTGAGAACCATAACCGATGTTCCCGCACGCCTTGCGTTGAAATTCATAAACTATCACACTACATTATACACATCTTTTGGAACCTCCAAGAACGACAGACTCTGCGCTAAGAATTTACCAGCGGGCTGTGACCTATACTCGATACACTGGTTTTCACGGCCCACTATACACTCGCTGGAATAGCTCCCTTCGCAGACTACACGCCTGGGATGACTACACATCATGACTTCGAATAAGATCCTACTGTACATGGGCGCTGAGTATGCGAACGTTACTAGTAAATAAAATAGCGTCTAATGCAGGCACGCAGAATAAAGATTCAATCTAGATCCATGAGATCGTCGTCCCAAAATTCGAGGCTCTTGTCAATTGAGAAGTCTCCTTGGTTCTGTAGTCTGTCCAGGAACCTGAGCACGTCTTTGTCGGCAATGACCCTGGCAGGCGAGATTCGTCAGTGTCCTGTGCCATTTTAGACTACATGCGGCGCACTTTGCGGGATCGAAATGTAACACTTGAAGAGCGTCTGCACTGACGGCACGAGATATCGCGGCGTAGCCTGGGAAGGAGTATCACGCGTGAACTGACAGCACTTAGGGAAGCAGATATGCGTTACAGACGTACATTGCCCTGCGGTAAAGGTCCTTGCCAAGTCGACCTTGACTCGTTCCAGAGTTTGGCCTTGCGCCTTGTGGATAGTGAGCGCATACGACAGCATGAGTGGCACCTTCCCACAATACGTCAGTTCAAGTCCATCACTCGGTGTAAACGAGAGACCTGTTCGCGGAAAGCCGCAATTCCGCCGCTGGCGTGCCTTGCGGTGAACATTTGCGGCACGCAGCAGACATCGACTGTGTTCCTCGAGCGCCCAATGAAGAATCGCACGATGGGCCAGTACCGTTCGCTATTTAGCCATCTCTCCACCTCTTCCCGAGCAGCACGTTCAACGTCACCGATGAAGATTCTCCTGGACAGCGGGGCAAGGCCAAGAGCTGTACCGAGATATATCTCGTGCGATTCCCAGGCATGGCGTGCGGGGCAATACCCGACTATTTTACCGAGCGAGCCATTGACCAAGCCATTTTGCACGAGATTCTGGTTGAATATGTCAGGACTCGTCAAGCCACAAATACTGTGGTGTTTGGTTACCTTGAGCAACATTACTTGTGCGTCCCTCTACGCTGCATAGTGAGTGGTCCGCATCCATGTGGGAACGCATTGTGCTAACCTTGAATTCTAGCTCTTGTGCGACTGGTATTCGATCATACGCACTCTGAAGAGCTTTATCTGTGAGTGGCCTCCACGTTTTGGACTCCCAACCTGGTCTGTCTCTGGACTTGTAAATCTGTTTGGAGCCGGAAAGCTTTTTCAGTTCGTAGCTGTTCTTGTCGTGGACTTCATCCTTCGTGGGGAACCTATTGTTGAAAGCCTCAAGAGCTGTAATGTAAACAGGGTATAACCACACTGACAGTTCTGTCGGTTGAATACCGCCTGGATAGACGACTGGACGAGCGAGACTCCGGAAAAACTCGATAGCCCCAGGAGTGACTATCCCCACTCGAAGCTGATTAAGATAGCCGATAAAATCTTCAGCAAACAGCGGCGGTTAGTGCGCACACTTGCGTACAACGAAATGCGGTTTCTTACCGAGCTCCTTTTGTCTGAAAACTGTCTTAAGTAGCATCGGCTTCCCCATGCAGCGATTCCAGCACTTGCTTTGGAACGCGAATATCGGCGGTTGAAGGGGATCACCTATAGGAGGTAATTGCAGGAAATCGCCAGAGAGTACCAGCTGCACGGCATCAGTGAACGTTCAGAGGGACGCTCAACTCTAATAACTCACCTGAATGCCACCAAACGGCCTATGGTCTTGCCGAATGAATCGTCCCATATATTCCTAAAAATCGCGACTAAGCCACCTGTGATACGCATCCATTCAAGAGTCAGATCCAACCAGCTTGTCAAGAAGCGACCCTTCGAGCATAGAGACTGAGTATGAACTTTTTAAGTGAGGCAATGAGGATCTCTCAAAAGGGCGACGCACTCTCATCAATAATGAGCACCTGGCACTCTAGCCACCTTCGCATACCGCGGGGAAGTCTACTACGCGGCTCGTCCTGGATTGGGCCCTTTGCTCCTCCGTTCATGACCTTGTAACGATGATCGCCCAAAAGTTGCTTGAGCAGCTTGTCGGCTGGTCCCAGGCCCAAGCCTATTCCCGCCCAAGAGTGAATAGTAGACCCTCCGATGTTCATTGCTGCCATGCCAGTGGGAGCCGTTACGATGAGCTGAGACTCTTCCATCTTGCGTTGAGACCTGCACCAACGAATGATTCTCCGGAGCAGCAGCGACTTCCCCGTTCCCGCACACCCCATGAAGAACACATTCTTCCCGGAACAAAATTCATGAAAGACGGCGTCTTGCTCCGGTGTGAGCTTTATGTCTGAGGAGGCATCTTCTGCACCCGCTACGAACCGCAATGATACCAACGTCATGACCCGCATATGTACACAGGGTAACACTCACCCGTTGCCCGAATCACTTCCTGTTTGACATAGTCTAGCGCCCCCATTCGGAATGATGACTCTTCTCCGACTCTGAGACCGTGAGACTTGCTGACCCACCAGACAGTTTACTTGGACAGGAGTGCTATAGTGATGAAAAAGGGAGTCCGTTGACAATGATGCAAGAAATGCAAAGTTCTGACAGCAAACTAGAATCGTCGATATTCAGTAAATGGACGAAAGCAGTCGGAGTCGTTATCAAAGGTCGCGTCCCCCATACGTTAGACGCGCAACAGACGCCACAAAGCCGCCATTGGCGTCTTCGACTTCCTCGCACTTTACACTTCGCCATTCAGCAGAATTTCTCCCCAGGCGCATGTAGAGCAAACAGAGTCCCTTTTTAAGGCTATAAAACCTAAGCGACAACACTACGGGCATGAGCTGGTTTCAGATCACCTGAAATGTCCTGGTCAAGCCATCAAAACTGTTTCATTTTCGAAGACTTAACCGGGGCTTTCTGGTGTCCCAAAATGATAGATTTGCTACCACTTTCGTAGCCATTTGCGGTGCAGGAAAATGATAAATTTTGTGTAGCCTGAAATGAACCTGAAATGACTCAATATGGCTACATTTCAGTACAGCAAAGAGTTCATGTTTCAGGAGACTTTGTGGCGCATTTCAGGACATCTGAAAGAACATATGTAGAAATCATTTCCGCCTCATGTTTGCAATGAGGAAAGGTCCGGGCAAGGAAAACTTTTGATGGTCCTGAAATTGCCATTTCTGATGGATTTTGAAGCTATTTTATGAGCTAGAAGATTTTTACCTGAGATAAGTCAGAAACGTCCTAGAAATGTACTATAAATTTGCCGTAAATGGTAATT